ATCCTCGCTCATGAGGAGAGTGGACTGGAACTGCTCCACGTCACGATGACTCTTCCAGTCCACAACGACATCCAAAGACAGCTTCGGCTGCTTCATGATGCGGAGAGTCTCCTTAATAGCCTTGTTGCAAAACATGTATTTTCGAAACATAACAAACAGCTCGACCGCGGTCCGAAACTCCTCTTCACCGTCTTCACTGGATACTGAAGCTGTGGAGGAAAGAGGCGGGTTACTGGGTGACTCGCTGCCAGACGCATTGTCACCACATGAGGGGTGCTCGTTCACTCCTTGTCTCACAGGGCCTCCCTCAACCGGTGGCAGAATAGACGCTGAAGAGGCGACATCCTCCCGTTCAGGACAATCTGGGGTGGAGCGACCTGCGGGTGTCCGATTGGGTGTGGTGCACTCGGTAGGTGCATCTTGTTCGAGAAGGCACAGCTCGTCATAGGCCTAGTGGCTCTTTAACTTAGCGTAGGATGCCATCCCTCTCTCACAATGACCGCACTTGAACCTTGAACGCCTGCCGTGCATGTCGGCTTACCCGGGTCTCACGAATTTCTCCCTCACCATATCCAGGGCACGATCCCTGCCAGACTCACACTGTATCTGGTGGGAGCAGGGGTCAAAGATCCAACCGCGAAGTGGTACACCCGGGGCATGTGTTTTCTCCACAATGTTATAAATGTGTAACACAAAACTTGCAGCACAACACTCGAGTTAGCTCCAAACGAGACAATTCATGATCCAGACTGAGATGCATTCACAGGTCACCTGTTTGTCCCGCTGCACCGCAAGGTCAGTCACCGCATGGATCTGTGGGCTCAGCCTAATGGTCCGTGGGTTCTACGTATATGTCCCACGTGAGTCTGGTCCTGCCCAATATCCCTGCACCACTCTAATCCCTCCAGGGAAACATGCAGCAAGCACGTGAGCTGGAGATGCGTGGGCGCAAGGCCAAGCACGTCTCTTTCTATGACAATCCTGCAACCCCCTTGGAGGCATTATTCGAGCTGATATCAGCAGAGTATGATGTGAGCAGGACCCTCTTCTATGAGGCCATGGATGACGTGGACCTGGCGGGTAAGCTGCGGTGGGTGTGGACCCATTGGAAGAATCAGGCGGCCTTCGCCATGAAGAAGGCCATGATGAAGGCATGGGGCTTGCCCACCAAAGGCCTAAAGGCTTCACAGCTGCAGATCCAGGTGGTGGACAAGCAGAAGCTGTGGAACCTCTACGCCCCCAGTGAGTGCTCCATCTAGCTACGATCAAGGCCAGTGCGGCTCCCACTGCGCATCTCCTTCCTATTCTTGTGTAATGTTGCGCCCACTCCCGGTCTGTACCTCTGCTCCCTCACGCTGCCTCTCTGTTGCCACCCTAACCTCCTAGGACGGCGCCTGGGGCAGCTTGTGAGCTCGTGAAGCAAGGAGGACGTGGGGGCAGACCCTTTCACCAGTGAGGATTTCTTCGATGGCGCACGTCAGGCGTACAAAAAATGGGTGCGGCATGAGACACTGATTCTCATACCCTATCACATCGCCTGGCTGCTCTACGTGGTGAGCGCCTTTGTCTTGCCTTTTGACCGAGTGGCGTCTAGAGATTTGTATTTAGGATGGATGTTGTGAGTTGCGTGCCTCCCCGCATACTGGGTCCTTACGAAAATGGCGTGCCTCTTTTTTTTTGCATGTGTATATTTATCACCCTATTGCGGGTAGACTTTGGCATCTCCAACCACAAGGGCACGTGTATGAACCTGCCCAACTCCCTCTACACGAACGTACACTACATGAAGCGACACCACAGCTGCGTGTGGGAGGTGGTGGATGAGGGCCTGCGGACTCGCAGGCACCCGTGGGATGCAGAGATGGGGGCATTCCGCTGGGGCAAGCACGGGCTCTTCATCCACCCGTCTGGCTTTGAGGGCTACATTCCTTCATCCAGCGACGCAGAGGACGAGTGATGCTGCCCTTGCAGCCTGTGGCACATGTGGGGTCCTTCCCCCCCCTCTTGCTCGGTTTGCCAACATCCTCGTCGCAACTCGTCCCTCGTCTGCCCCTTTTCCACCGGCGGCTGTCCGATATGTGCCCAGGCACCTTCCCCCACGCTGTTTCGCTTGTGTAGTGCCCGGAGGCCATAACATTTAGGCATGATGGGCCTGGCTCTGTGGCGGCTGTGAAAACTTGGCTCTCTTTTTTCAGGTTGTCAAATACTCATGTATGGGTTGCTGTAGGATGCTTCGGGGTTGCGGTATCTGACACCCCGGCTACTTTGTGTGCCCAGCTATCATGTAAGCAACTCGTCTGTACATGTCCCTCTCACATTTTGGAATAGTTTGTGATACTATTCATATAACGTGTGGTGTCCATTTTGTGTTAGAATGGTGTCCTGATTGCTCGAGCTGGGAAATCCCGACCCGCGTGGCATCTGTGACGACTTTGCTGCCGATGTTGGTGTTCGGATTGTACCCGCGTTCGAATGTCATTGCCGATTTGTGTTCAAAAGTGCTCACGTGGTGATCAGCCGTGGTGTTCAAAACGTGTTCGGAAAGCCTACCATGTTGGTGTTTAAAAAGTGGCAACACGTTGTAGCACAAAGGCGACCTTTCGAGGGGTATGGTTTTTGTGTTCAATAGGTATACACACTGAGTATTTTGTGACGGTTCCCGGACACGGCATTTCTGAGATGTCCATTGTACCACATTCTGTTATTCTGAACCTCGACATTCAATTCCGAGCTAGTTTGGTTAAAGTGAGGATCTCAAGAAGCAAAAATTCAAATCCAAAGGTTTTGGATTAGCAATGTGGCAAAATAAGCCAATGGCAAGCGACAAAAAAATTGCCGAGCCACCCTAGTCGAAGGTATACGTGACAAAGTTGATATGCGTGGCGCAATGTAGGGCGTGTTCAGAAGTTAAAAAAATAAAAACACTGGTCTTCCAAACAGCAGCAAATGTGACACGCAAAGCAGATGCATGTCGAATTATACTTCTCCTATACCGGAAACCAGGGTCCACAACACCCTTGGGAATGCCACCTCTCCTCCCTGCCAAATATGATCAAGAGCTACCAAGCTTCACCTAGACAAACAACACAACAAACTAGCAGTGTACCACTGCGAGTAGAAATAGAGCAAAGCCAAGGACAAACAAAAACAGAATTCCACAACTTTAGAGCACACGCTGGCCAGTTTTTACATTCATCCCAGTTATAGACATACATAGAAATTCCAGGCCATTAAAACTCTATAGCTAATGGGGCGAATATTAGTATGCAACACCAAAGAAAGCATATATGCACAAGTTATTTTGACGGCAGAGAGCACCAAAGAATGCCCTCGCAACATAGCCCAGCAGCCATATCCTATGCGGCGAAAATATCCGAAAGGGGGGTAAGAGTGAACGTAGGGGGGTTGAGAACGCGAGCAGGGGAGGGGGGGTGGCAGTCAAACTATGAGGTAGCAGCAGTGCGGACACATGGAATGAGTGGTGTGGACCGGGCAGGGATGAAAGATGCAGGCACACAGGGATATGGAAAACTCAGTCGGAGGGGGGGTTTTGGGTGGGCGGTGGATCTGCGAGGTAAGAGGGCAGGAGCGGTGGCAGGGGGGTGAGAAGGGAGTGGAGAGGTGAAAACTGGGCAGGTAAAACGCATGGACACGAGGCGCTGGAAATGGAATCAGGGGTGAGAGCGAGCGGTCAGAGTAAGGGGGGGGGGAGGGGGGGAGGAGGGGGGGGCGGTCAGAAGTACATGAGTGCAGCATGGACGGGAGGGAGCGACGCTGTCTTAAGTGCAGGGGAAGGGGGGGATGGAGTAGGGTGAGGGCATGTGAGCAGGAAAGTCGGGGGAGATAGGCAGGAGAGAGCTGAGACCTAATGTTAGAGATAGGCTGCAATTCGGTTGGCACAACTTTGTGTGTTGGCACTTTGTTGGTTTTAGGGATACGCATACAGGTTAGGTTGGGTGTAGCTATGTTTTCATCCCCAACCTATCCCAACCGAATCTATCCCAAATCCCCACGATTTGGGAGGATTCCCTTGGGATTCCCTCCGTTTCTCCCTTATCCCTTCCCATCCTCTCCGATGCTAGGTACTTCAGGATGTATGCTCTTGCTCATTCTATTAATGAAGTTCTCAGTTTCTGATACCTAAACCATGGAGGGAGGAGGGAGGAGGGAGGAGGGAGGAGGGAGGAGGGAGGAGGGAGGAGGGAGGAGGGAGGGCGGAGGAGGGACGGCAGAGGTGGGAGGAGGGAGGAGGGAGGAGGGAGGAGGGGGGGATAGTGCGCGGGTAAAACATGAAAGATGGGTACCTGCGGGGTGAGAGGGCAGGAACTGGAGCAGGGGGTGAGATGGGAGTGGGGACATGACACTAGGCAAATGAGCAGCCATAGTCGTGGGAAGGTGGGAACGTAAGCAGAAGGGGGCGGGGGGGGGGAGGGGGGATTGGCGAGGTACGAAGGAAGAAAGAAAGGGATGCAGGAAGGGAGGGAGGGTGAGCGAGGGAAGGAAGTGGGGGGGGGAAGGAAGGAGAGAGGGAGCGTCACTGTGTTGAAAGAGGGGAAAAGGGGGAATGGAGTTGGAGAAAAGGGGGAGAATGAGGGAGGGGAGGGATGGGACATCGCAAAAATTCAGTGTCCGAAAAGCATTTGCGCAGTGTTGTTGCGAACACCTTTCAGGTGGTTTCCAAATTGGTGGGTCCAAACACTTCGCGGTGTAAGTTGGAAAGACCTCGCAGATGGTTTGTCAAACACCACTCAAATGGTTTGTCAAACGCCACGCAGATGGTTTGCCGACACCGCGCTGATGTTATTTGGTCGTACGCGATAACACCTCCACGTCACCATGCGGTCATGCTGGAAGAGAACTTTTGTACAGTGCACGAAGACCATTACAAGTTTGTTCGCGTCACGCTTACATCTCTTCATTGTGTTTGAGGCGTGTTGTTGTCCTTTTTTTGGTACATTCTATATCCGTTACTGCCACATCCGCTAGTACTCCATTGCCACAGATATTAGGCTCATTAATTGGTATAGATGGCCAGTAGAAGAAACACATCAGTGTCACAAGAAAACACATCAGTGACACAAAATCTCAGGGTTTAGACCTCTACCCGCATCCAAGCTGTGATCGCCCTACCAACCGCATCCGGACAAAAGGAGCACTACCCTGGAAGTAAATCGGAAACGACCCGTACGATGGCATCAACCCCCTCCTTCCTCGTTGAGAGAGCACATACTACTGCTGCAAGCCCCCACCTACTCCCACCGCTGCCGCTGCAGCTATGATAAACCTAGCTAACCACCAAGGTATGAGTCTGGCCCTGCTGCTGCTTGTGGTTCGTTCATCCCACAACCCCCCCTCCCCCCCCCCCCCCCCCCCCCCCCACACCACAGGCTGCTGCTGAGACCCCTCCCTCGCTGCTGCCACCTGTGCCTCATTCTCCATATCCCCTCTCCCCCCTCCCCCCCAAGGCTGCTGCTGAGACCCCTGCCTTGCTGCTGCCACCTGTGCCTCATTCCCCAAATCCCCTCTCCCCCCACCCGAAGCTGCTGCTGAGACCCCTCGCTTGCTGCTGCCACCTGTGCCTCATTCCCCGAATCCCTCCCCCCACCCTAGGCTGCGGCTGAGACCCCTGCCTTGCTGCTGCCACCTGTGCCTCATTCCCCGAATCCCCTCTCCCCCCACCACAGGCTGCTGCTGAGACCCCTCCCTTGCTGCTGCCACCTGTGCCTCATCCCCCAGTCCCCTATCCCCCCCCTCCCCAAGCTGATGCTCATATCCATTCCTCGCGCCCGCTGTTGCCTCAACCCTTTAACTCCCCCCCCCCCACCACAGCCTGATGCCGAACCCACTCATGCGCTGCTGCCGGTGCCTCATATCACAAATGCTCCCAACCACAACTTCCAGTTCTTGCCGCTGCTGTGAGCGGCTTTATCAATACCCACTATAGTGTGATACCCAAATGTCAAGGCCACTCACATCCCTCAAAAGGAACCCGCCCTCGAGCGCCCCCACCCCAACCTGCTGGTCCTGAAAGCCCCGCACACCACCCGCCCAGCCCACCTGTTTCACATCATTTCGCTGCCAGCACCCCACCCCTCAAACGACGCTGCCACATCATGCATCTGCAAACACCCCATGGTTATGAACCCAGCACACGCCAGTACTGGCGCTTGCAATAAGCCCCTCCCATTGTGGGATGGCTGCCCCTTCAGAATGATGCTGACAGACCCTTCCCTCCAGAGCCCACGCCAATACTTGGCTCCACTTCCGTCCCAGTTGTATCCGTCCCCTGCCCTGAACGGTGTGGTGATGCCACCCCTGCACATACCTGCCTCACCCCTGCAAAAGGACCCTTAATCCTTAGCCTCTCCCTCTCCACCTTTGGGCGCCTTCCCCTTGCCCTCCCTCCCTGGTTCCTGCCACTCGTCCTTGAAGCCACTCTCATGGACGTAAAGTCCATACTCTCCCCATTTCCACCCCCGCATGTCCTTGCTGTACTCCTTGGGGTAGTTGCTGAAGTGGTCAATGACCACCTGTCGCACCCTCTTGTGAAGGTCCGTTATCCAGGCCTTGTTCTTGGGGTGTGAGTTAGAGAGGCCCATCGTGGTGTGCCTGCGGCGGGTCAGCCCATAGTCGACCTGGGGAAGAGGGTGGCCGAGGGGGTTTGTAAAAGGGTCAGGGAGGTGGGGGACGGGAATGGGGTTGCATGAGCCGAGCACAATCGGGAGGATACTAGAGCCCAAGCCACGGCGTCCTTTAAGGCGCGCTCCCCGCCACTTACCACCATGATAATCCAGGCAATGTGATACGCCTTCAGACAGAGCTTCCCCGCCACAGCCCACTGCTGAAACGCATCGAACGCCGCCTGAAAGAAGATCTTGTTGGCAAAAGGCTGCCCGGAGTGCACCCCTGGGGGTGGCTTCGCCGAGCCCCAGGTGCTCACCAACTGCCCAAACCTCCTTCCTGTTGGGGGTAACGGCAGCACAGATGGAGGTGCATGATGCTCAAATGGTGTGAGGATATGGGGAGTGAACACGAGGTATTAACTTCAATGACATGCGCCCTACTAAACAACTGTGACCGCGCAGCTACATGAGTACTTACGAGGCTTGAAGTCATGCCAGAGGGCCATCTTGTCATCAAGGTCCACATGGATCTTGGAGCCCCTCGCCCACTTGACCTTCACCCCTAGCTCCGTCAACACCCGCCTCTTGATCAGGAACCCCCGCTCGTTCTTCCACTGCGTCCATACACGCTTGAATTTATCGTTGTAGTTGTTGTCGGTCATTGCCTCCTGAACAGCCACGAAAGACACGTCGTAGCCCTCCATCACCAAAACCGTGTGAAGGTCCACCATGCGGAGGTAGAAGGTCGTGTAGAAGTCAATGCCCGCATCAGGCGCATCGATGCACATCCGGTCGCGCGAGGTTTCGTAATGGATCTGTGGACGGATGGGCGTCGGGGGGGGGGGGGGGAATGGGGGGGAGAGAGGGCGGGGACAGACAACTAGAGGCATGGGGAGACGGAGGGGAAATGGCAGCAAAGCAGATGCCAAAAAGCAGGTGAGATGTGGAGAGAACTTGTGTGCCACACCAGGAATGAGAGAAGCTGTGGGTATGGGTGGGAGGGAGGGGAACAAACATGCAAAGGATGGAGGGAGAAGTACTCCTTGTTGCCAGAGGCAGAGAACCTGTGGGAAGGGGCAGGAGGGAGAGAGTAGGCGGGCAAGGGCAGCGACATGAGGGAGAGATCTCGAGGTCAATGAAAGGATGGAGAGAACGTGTGGATAGGGGCACGAGGAACAGGGTAGGCTGGCAGGGGCATCCAGGGTAACGACATGAGCGAGCAAACCTGCGGACAGAGGGCAGGAGGGAGAGAACATGTGGAGAAGGGCAAGAGGGAGAGAACCTGTCTGTAAGGGCAGGAAGGAGAGGGTGGGCGGGCAAGGGCACACAGGGCAAGGTCATGAGGTGGACAACCACCGGCCAATGGCATGTGAGTGATCTGTGGGCAAGGGCAGGATGGACAGGGTAGGCAGGCAAAGGCAATGAGGGCATCGACATCAGGGGGAGAACCTGTGGGCAGAATGGGGGTGAGACAGAGAACCTGTGGGCAACAGCAGGGGGGAGAGGGTCGGTGGCCAAGAGCATACATGGCATTCCCATGAGGGAGATATCTCACGGTAAGGGCAGGAGGGAGAGAACCTGTGGGCGGGGGCAGGGGGGAGAGGGTAAGGGGGGAAAGGACATACAGGGCAAGCTCACGAGGAGGAGAACTTGGGGCCATGCGCTGGATGGAGAGAACCTGTGGACAAGGGCAGGAGGGAGAGGGTCGCACGGGCCTGAGGATGACGAGATCCAACGCAAAGGAAATTGTCACCAGATTCTGTCAGGCCAGCCGAGCGGTTGTAAGTGGGGCACGTACAAGCAATGGACACCAAGTCGACATGCAAGTCTTGCCTTGCAAGGAAGAGCGATTCATTGATGACTCACCCCAATCTTCTTCAGCGAGGGCATGCCCTTCTTCCGTTGCACCACTGCCATCCCCGTGCTCTCGCCCACCAGATCCGTGCCGGTATCGGGGCCGCTGGATGCGGAAGCGAGTCGCGGAAGGCCTCGATCCCGCTCTCCCTTAAACTCCTGGATCTTCCCTATGGCCTCCCTCAACGCCCGCCACAGCAGTTGTGGTGTCACGTAGGTCGGCATCTCTTCTGCATCTGCAATGTCTTCCCAGGAGAAGCGCCCCCCCTTGGAGTCCTCACCCTCAGGCCGCCGACGCTTCCCGTCATGCCCGCCAACGCCTTCATACTCGGCCGCAGCGCGTTTGCGCTGAGAACCTGTGGTGGCATGCTGATGTGTCTGATGGTTCCCCTCAGGCCCATACTCCCCCGTGGCGCATGCCCACATCCCACCAGCAGCACGGCCATCATCACTTTGCTGCTTCCGGCGTTCCAATCCAGCATGACCCGCCGCGCGCCCACGTGTGTCCGCCACACTGATACGCAACTCGCTGCCACTCTGAGCATTGTTCCCGCCACGCCACGGGCGACGCTCGTTCGCAGCTTCGCGAACCCTGGGTGGGTTCTTCTCCGACGCCTCCTCATCGTTGTCCTCCCCTCCGTAACCTGAGTCCGCCTTCTTGGATCCCCTCGGGTACTTGTCCAGTGCATCCTTTCCGCTCTTGTTAGGCTTCCACTGGGCAACCACCTCCTCCTCATCACTGGATGAGGCCGCCTTTGCGTACACGTTGCTCCGGTCGCCGCCGCGTTGACGCTTCTTGTGGCAGGGCTCGAGCTCCCCCGCGGACTCACTCTCTGAGTCGCTTTGCTCATTCCCGTAGGCGTCGTCATCATCCTTCGACTTCCATCCCTTTTGCTTGCCCCTGGATGCCCGATCCTTGGAGCTGTTGGTGCGGCGTCGGTCCTCTAACCCCCCTCGCTGCTGCTTCTTCTCCCACCCGTGGTTGCCACGTCCGCTGGTCTTACCGCGCCTGCGACGTCGAGAGCCGCCGCGCCTCCCTTGATGACGTTTACCATGGCTGTCATCGCAGGATTTTCTCTCCAAGTCTGCGGACTCGCTCTCACACTCCTCGTTATCATAGTTCTCCTCGCTGCCGGAACTGCTGCCGGACTCCGTGCTCTCCTCATCGGAATCGTCGTCAGATACCTCCTCCTTGTGCTCTTTCTTGGGGCGGAGGCCTCCGCGATTCTTAGGGGTTGGCGTCCTCGGCTTCAATACAGCACCGCGCTGATGAGCCGCCTTCTTGCCCTCGCCGCCACCGTCTGGCGCATGATCCGCGCCATCCGCGGAGCCCCAAGGTTGCACTGCAGGCATGTCATTGCCTTTTCCTGCTTCCGTGGTCCGAGGGGGGGACACGCCACCAGCCATAGGTACCGAAGTATCCACATGCATCTCCACTGTGCCTCCGTCCACTCCCTTTCTGGCGGGAACCATTGCCCACGGGCCGTCCGCCCCTTCAGCAGGCGTGTCACGCCCGTCATATGCCACCTCACACCCGCCCGACTCCTTATTGTTTTCCACCTCTGTAGCCGTCTTCATCTCGCCCGCCTCATCCTTCCCGCAAGCACTCTTCTCTGGAAGTGACCCACACCCATCTTTCTGCCCCGCCATCTCCATCTTCCCTTCCGCGGTGCCGAGCTTCCCCCGCAAACTCGTGTCCTTCGCCGCCTCCTTCCGATCTACCTCTCCCTCTGCCACAGATTGCTTCGGTCCCTTTTTCTTCTCCTTGCCGTTAGCCTTCTTGTTCGTCGAGACCGCGCGCCGCTTCGCACCTGCCAACAAATGGAACGCTCGACATGGCGGTTAGGCCATGAGTAAGTACTCCCCATGTGCAACCACATACAACCAAGCGTGATCAGGGGTGAAGAAAGCTCACCCCTCTCAACAGCCTCGGGGTCGAGCTCATGAATGCTCTTCTTCTTGGGTGGCTTTCGTTTTTTTGGCGACCGCAATTTCTCTGGAACGTCATCGTATGGTGCGCCATCCTCCCCATCGTCGCTCTCGTCGTCACTGCTATAATCGCTACCATCTCCCTTCTTGCAGCCCCTGACAGAACATGGATGCCGTTTCCGGTACTCAAGGAGGGCCTCCTTCGTCTCGCTAGGCGTCACCTTGCGACCCTGGTGCTCCGCAGGACCATCCTCATCTCCCTCAATAACATAGGGGCCGTTCAGCTTGACGCTATTCCTGCGCTCTCTTTCTCCGCGCCTGAGGGTTTCGTTGGCCATTTTGGAGCAGGTGCAAACCCTACAGCTAGACTGGGTGAAATGCTAATGGAAGGGATAGCACGAAATGGGCTACCAAAGAGTGGAGTGGATGTGGTACACAATCAGGAGTGGGTGGAGCAGCCAACGAGGGGGTGGAGATGATGGATCGGCCTGTGAGGCAACAGGACGAACCAACGGGGGAGGTTTGGTTGGGAGAGGAACTTCAATACAGTCAACCATCCGATAACGCCGTGATATGCGGGGAGGAGCAGTTTGCACGACCAAGATTCATCGACCAGTCGACTTCTGCCTGGCTGTGTCAATCAACCTATCCCTCCTCGGGATTGTTACAAGGCTCACACCAAACCTCGAACCTGCTGCGTGCGCATCTGCCCAGCCATAGGATGCAGAGAGCCTGCCTAAAGGCTTTTTTTAGGGCAGGCTACAATTTACGATGCTCGTGTTCACGTATAACCCAGCACGCTGTGCTTTCGTTCCAGCTGCAACATGCCCATCCCCCTATTGTTACTGAACTCCGTCGATGTTTATCGAGCAGAGGCGACCATTTGTTCAACATCCTAAACTTTGGGTGACGGGCCACTCTCACAAAAGTGGACTGCCAGCCTGGCATCGCAAAATAACAGGGGTGGTAGGTTGGGCCAGACCAGGCGAGACTTAGCCTACAAGGACAGATTGCACGTACACTCTCACCTGTTGTTGGCTTTGTACTGATAGAATCATACAAAGTTGAATTAATGGCCTCTTTCTGTTGAACCATTTTTACACCCGTGTTCGCTGCATTTATTAAATTGGGGTTTGATTTATGACATTTCCATTCATTTTAACATATTCCAGTGGTAAACATAATTGCAAGTTTCGCACATACCGTATTCTCCCGGATACAGTACCTGCCGGAATTAAGCTCCCATGGGTGGCTTGAACGGGTATGGGTGTTTAATTAGACTGGATCCAGTTACCACCCTACTTTTGGGGTTGAAATCAATTGAACACCCTCCCCCGAAACGGGCCACTACATTCCAGTGAATCTTCACTAAACAATCAGGAATTAGAGGTTAGCTAAACAACCTAAGCCTGCTTGGATGTCCTAGAGCTATATAAGGGGACCACAATACAAGCTACCACTACTCTAGCTCATGCTGCTACTGCCTCTGCCACGTGCTCTAGTCGTCCTCGTCATCATCTTCATCGTCGCCAGCATGCCACTCCTCAACATCACTCCCATCTGCCAGATCAGCCCACCAGTGGCTGTTATCATCCTCTTCAGCAATGCCTTCAGCCGGCCACTCCACACTGTCTTCAGCTCGTTGTGCTTTTGCTTCTGTCTCTGCCTCTGCTGTAGAGAGGTCGGCATCATCTGCTACTGCCGCTCTTGCTGCCGCTTCATCCATGTCGCCATCGGCTTCTGCTGCCGCCGTGGCATCATGCTCCTCGTCGTCGGCTAAGTCCTCGTCGACGTCGATCGTGCGGTCATACAGAGGGTTGACATAATCGCTCTCACCCCCTTGAACATGGACGTCGTCCAAGAGTTCCACGCCCGGCTTCTCGCGGAGGTGACGGAGAGCCAAGTTGTCCCCGGAGCCATCCAACGCGTTCGAGATCCCACAGGTGTTGAACGAATTCCGTATGAGCTGAGTCTGTGGCGGTGTTGTCGCCCTCGCCAGACGTGCGACTTGGGCTCC